CGCAGAGGATGATATTGATGATGCACATGACAACACTCCAAAATGGTCCACTCGTTCTCTAGGCTTTAACTCCTTTGAAGTTATGAAAGCGGTACAAATAAACTAAACCGTTAGTGAAGTTACGGTAAGTAGTTAAAAACCAAGCTCTTTGAAGTTGGCAGCAATGACTTCTCTGATAAATATTTGAAAATTTGACTTCAAAATTGTCTGGAATGATTGTATTAACTATTAACTCTTCTTGAGCTTGACTTCAAAACTCTTTAATCTTCATGGAGACATGGACTTTTGGTTTGTAGTATCACTATTTTGTAACTTTAAAGTTTGTGGTTGCAAATTTGTGCATATGGTTGTTGATTGTTGAATGTTTTATGAAGCTAGCTTCAAGTTTCTAATTTCTATCAAGGGATAGTGGATACAGAATCTCCGACAGCTAATATTTTTTGAGTTAATTATTAAATTAAAATATCAACTATCACATATATCACCTCCATATTTTTTTCTATGCATTAACCTATTTTTGTAGATTTTTTAGAATTTTTTTATATTTATTGACCGCATCATCGCGATGCACCCGCATCCGGACCGCATCGAGCTTTATCCCGCATTTTAAAACACTGGGTAAGTATGACTGCCAATTGATTCTCAAAACGAACAAATGGAGTACCTATTGTCTTTTTAATAACAAAGTGGCATTCAGTCTTAATATGCTTGGTTCTTTCATGAAATACTAGATTTGAGGCAATATAAATTGCCGCTTGATTATCACAATGTAGAGGAATAGGAGTTGTGCATTACCACCCATCTCTTGAATAAGATAATGGAGCCAAACCATTTTACATGTATCACTTGTCACTTTTAGATACATAGATTCTACTGAAGATCGAACTACAACGCTTTGCTTCTTACTCTTCCAAGTGACTAAATTACCACCCACTGTCATAAAGTAGCCAACAATAGATTGTTGATAAAGAGAAAACCTAACCCAATCCACATCATAGAAACCTAGTATATGCAAATGATCATGACTGGTATAAAGTAGCCCTCTTTCTAAAGATTTTAGATATCATAAAATGCGATAAACAACTTCCAAGTGATGGGAGCATGGTGCATGCATAAACTGACTTGTCAAACCTACAGCATATCAGCATATGCAACGGCTGGCCGTGTGACAGCCAAATAAATAAATCTACCCACTAATCGCTAATATACATTAGGGTAACTCAGTGGCTTTGACAGTTAATCATACAGTTCGTGATTAACCTCTATAGGAGATTATGTTGGTTTGTTTCCAAGCATTCTTGTATCATTGAGGAGATCAAGAGTATACTTCCTTTGAGACCAACAAATTCCTTGATTAGACTTAGCCACCTCTATTCCAAGGAAGTATTTCAATGGACCAAGATCCTTGACGTCAAAAACACCCTCATAAACTCTTTCACTTTTTGAATTTCATGATCATTATTTCATATTAGCACAATATCATCCACATACACAATCAGTAATGAAGTGGAACAAGCCTGAGGTGACTGTTTCAATCCATATATAGCTTTCCGCAACTTGCAGACCTTTCCTTTCTCCCCTTTGAGGATAAAACCCAAGCGGTAATTTCATACACTCAATGTTTTAAAATGTGGAATACAGTCGAAAGTGGTGGGGGGCAATGCGGCTCAAATGCGGGTGCATCGCAGCGATGCAGTCAATAAGAATAAAAAATATTCTAAAAAAATAGGTTAACGCATAGAAAAAATATGGAGGTGATATATGTGATAATAGGTATTTAGTTTATTCATTAACTCCAAGAGTATTAGTTGTCGGAGATTCTATATCCATTATCCCCTGATAGAAACTTGAAACTAGCTTCATAAAACATTCAACAGTCAACAACCATAAGCACAAATCTGCAACCACAAGCTTTAAAGTTACAAAATATTACAAATTAAAAGTCAATGAAGATTAAAGAGTTTTAAAGTCAAGCTCAAGAAGAGTCAATACAATCATAATCATTTCTCAAGTCTTGAAAGTGAGATTCTAAATTTCAATTTTAAAATACTAATCAGAGAAGTCATCTTGAGAGTCTTCATGTGCATCATCATCACTATCATCCTCGGCAGCCTCCACGTATTCTTCTTCCTCACTCACCTCTGAGTCAACCTCCTTCTCCTCGATCTCTGGAGCTGATGTGCAACTAGACCCAATTCTAGTGTTAGGTTGTCTTCTTCATTAGCCCCTGTGACTAGCTCGACAACAAGCCATGTAAGATCCTCACCCTCAAACACACGCTCTAATCGTGAATCAGTCACTATCAGCTTCATACAACTGAATTGGGTTGAGCTGCATGCGCTTTTGATACCTCTCCCTAAGCCGCTCATTATATCGTACGTAAACCGAATCATTCACCTTGTTCTGCTCCAACCTATTTCTTTTCTTAGTATGGAGCTGTGGTAGAAAATTGAAATTGGATAAATTAGATTTTAGAAAATTGAAATTTGAAATTGAAATCCAAGAAATAAGGATTAAGGAATAAGGACTTACATGCTCAAATACACTCCAATTGCGTTCACAACCAAATAAGCTACATGTGAGATTCAACACTCTAATAACGAGACGTTGTAGATTTGGTGTCTCGATTCCATATAATGCTTATAATTTAGATTATAGATAAAATTAAAGGTAAACAATAAACCTATACATAAAGTCATAAACAAATAAGGGTACTTTTGGGCCTTTACCTGGATCTGTAGTGCCCCTGTTTCGAGTAGCAATCTCTCTTCCAAAGTTTCCCAAGGCTAACTTGAACTTAATCAATTCTTGGCTCTAGATCTCATCTTGGATATCTTTGTCAAGCATCAGCCTCTCAAGCATATCTAAGAACCAACCATTTATTACACAATCTGACTCAATGTATGGGTGCTTGTAGTAAAGAGATGGATTTAGAAAGTAACTAGCTGAATGGAGGTGCCTGCGAAGCTGGGTATCCCATCTCCAATCAATAACTCCAAGTATAGCCTTGGATTTATTTTTATCATCCTTTAAAACATTTTTTATCTCTGCTCTTGCCTTTGTCATTGCCTCATGTATGTAGCCCATTGAGGGCTTCACATCACCATCAACCAGACGAAGCACTTTCACTAAAGGGCCAACCACCTCCAATGCAAGAATTATTTGATTACAAAAAGATGTATTCAGAATAACTTGTTCAACCTTTCTTCTATCCCGATGCTTTGACCATTTACTTTGATTCCATTGCTCTAAAGCAAACATGGTCCTCAAGGCACTTTTTTGCTTGCCTAGGCTTCGAAGAGTGAGAAACGTTGTGGTCAATCTAATAATGCCCGGTCTCATTAATTCTCTCTTCTTTGTAAAAGCCCTCATCATGCTTACAAAGAAGTTTTGAAACCAACAAACATAGTTTTGCAACCACCCCACTAAATAAAGACGTTGTACCTATTTTCTTAAGCATGAGATTAACACAATGAACTGCACAAGGAGTCCAAAATTTATGCGTCTCCTTCAGAGACAACATATGCCCAGCTGCAGCATAAGTGGCACCATTGTGAGTGACAATTTGTACCACATTTTTCTCTCCAACAACTCTACAATCTCATCCATCAAGCCACATAAGTATGTAACATCATGTGATTGTCTGATGCATCAACAGGCTTAATAAAAAAAGTACATATTGGACAACCAAAAAATTAATGCATACCCTCGACTTTCCATCGGACCAACCATCACACATAATAGTGGCCCCATACTTCTCCCACTCTTCTCTTTGAGAAATCAAAATTTTGATAACATTGGATACAATATCCATCAATAAGGGCTCCCTAACTTCATGTAGTGAAGGAGAATAAGTCCTGGACCATATAGCCCAATTTCCTGGACCACACATGCAAAACTATCCAGGGTTATAACATTAAAAGGAATGTCGGCTATATAAAGCAACTTTGCAATATACTTACATACTAATTTCCTCTATTCTTTCCTTTATCAATTGTTAATTATGGTTAGTTTGTTTTTTTTTTCTCTCTTGAACCACAATTTTGGGGTTAGGGGTGAAAAAAATATCCATTTGCCCCCTAGAAAGGTGTTCTTTTGCCAACACGACCACCAATATTTACAACCCTCTCTCTTGAGATTGGAGTTGAGTATCCCTTAGCCTCATTGCATGTTCTGATATATCATCATTATCATCAACAACATCAAATAATTGCACATCATCAAGTAATTCTTTTCTTTTCATTTTTTCTTCTCTTTTTCTTTTTTCAAGCTATCCATGTATTCTCTAATCTCCCTTTTTATCTCTTCGGTAGCTTGTGGGCATGCTCTTACATTCTCATAAATTCTGGCTAAGTGTTCTTTTTGCCGAAAAATGCCCACCCATATAAGTATTTCCACAAAACATACAATCACACAATTTCAATCTTTCGAATTTTTAAGTTTGGCATATTTCCAAGCCGAATCCGTATTACTAGAAGATTGGGAAGAAGAAGACATTGCCCCAAAAAAAAGTATTATTGTAGAAGGAAAAAAAAGTTATTGGTTACTTGAAGCAAGTATCAATTTCTTCACAGCCCTTGAAACCCTCGATTTGTCGTCACAAGTTCGTCAAAACTTCTTCTAATCAACACCCAAAAGATACAAATCAACAACCAAGGAACAACAAATGCACAAATCGAAGAACTTCGACGAAAAAAATTTCCACGCAAATATTTCTTTTGATCCAATCGTTCACAAAAAAGCCACGAATGTGGCTGAAAATTGTTGTTTGGGGGGCTTAATACCCCTCCAAACCCTTTTCTCCAAATTTTGAAGGTCAAAAAGACTATTTTACCCATCCCCGAGGGGTACTATTTCAAAAAACATTTGCGAAAAATTATGCAGTCGATACGGTGAGATGCGTTATGCAGCTCTAATGCAGAGAGATGCGGCACTTATGCAAGCGCATCTCTCCATACCGCATATGTGATCAATTTTGATGCGGTGCCCAGCGCATAGCACACGATGTGGCGCATATGCGACGATACGACCACATTTTGAAATGCTGTATACACTACCTCTTGCAAATCTCCATGGAGAAAAGCATTCTCCACGTCTAGCTGGTAGAGTGACCATTTCCTATTTGCTGCAATAGATAAAAGTACCCATAATCGAACCATCTGGTTGGTGCTTTAGGGTATACACGCACCTGCATCCTTAACACATCCTTGTGGAAAATCAATTACATCCCAAGTTCGTTGCTTCTCTAAGGCAATCATTTCCTCAATCACGGCTGCTTTCCATTGTGGATAAGCCAATGCATCTACAACTTTGGTGGGAATAGAAACAGAGGAAGTAGAGCAAAGGCACGCACGAAAACAAGGTGAAAGTGAAGCATAAGAAACAATTTATTGATCGGATGAGAAATACGATTCCTTTTTTTTTTCTTATGGCAATAGGTAAATTGAATTCAAAAGGTATAAGGGTAGAAGGAAAAGTACCTGACAAGTCAACGAGTTTGGGTTAATCGTTTACATCAGAGGTGTACACTTTTACCTGTTTCTCAATAGATTCCACATGTTCCTTGGTTGGATTATTAGAACGATCTGTGATCATTGGAAAAGGAATAAGGTATATTCTCAAGAAGGTAACATCATTTGAAACATATTTTCTTTTAGTTTATGGACAGTAACATCTATATTCTTTATGAGAATTCATGTATCTTAAGAACACGCATTTGGTAGATTGAGGTCCTAATTTATTCTTATTTTTCCCCAAAGCAATGAAAGAAAATTCGGCCACCTTGTGGCCATTTTCTCAAACTGCCTAAGTGGCCATTTTCTCAAACCGCCTAGGCATGGACTAGGCGGTATGCTCTAGGCGGGTGCATGATGCACCCACCTAGGCACCCAAGGTGCCCCGGGCGAGCCCTATAGGAACAAGGACCAAGGCAGGCCTGGCCCGTTGCCATCCTTAGACACATGTGCCTGAATCCTATGTATGCACTAGAAGACATATCAATGCCTAAGCATACATAGGCAAAATTTATTAATATTCACCATGTCATGACCCCTTATCCTTCACAAGGGAAAAAATACGTATTTATCCTTTACTATTCAAGGAGAAAGGCCAGACAAAAGTAATTTTGATGCGAAAATTTTCAGGTTGGATTTGTGTTTCTCCATAATAATCAAACACGTTGCTACCCAAACATTCCTTCAAAGTTTGCCAAATCCCTCCCCTTCCTATGACCTTCCACTCACAAGATCAGTAGAGAGAGAGCGAGAGAAAAGGTGGCCCATCTACCTAATTTTTTATTGGTTTTAGAGAGAGAAGAGGGAGATGGACCATCTAGAAACTGCTTGTGTGGGTCTAAGAGAGAGAGATTGCCCATGTGCCCATTTGCTATTGAATTCTTTTTTTGGGGGGGGGTTGAGGAGGGTGATGCAAGAGAGTGTTTTCCATTCTTTAGGAAGAAAAAAAAAAACCCCAAAAACAACTTAAGGAATTTGTAGAGTGGAAAAGGAAACGGTTTGTTTTAATGTGTGGAGAAACAGCCATAGAGTGAGATGGCTTTTTACTAGTTTCTATATTGGGATATGACCCACCCACAATCATAAAGAGAGTGAAATAGATACTTATCTACAAAGAAAATGAGTCAAATTTCATCAAACAGTAGATTACAGTTTGTTCCTTGATGTTCTAAATTGCAATTCATATTATGTGAAACAATATCGCTTTTGTGAAACTTATATCAATCCTTTGAATTTGAATGTACTATCATAAAAGGCTGACACAACCTTTGGAGGTAGAGCTTGTGGTTTAATAGAAAGAAGTCATAAGTTCAATTCTTGTTGGGGAATTTTTCGCCTTCATAAATTGGGACACTCCGAGTCTGGAGTGTCAAGAATTTTTTACAATGAAAGACACACCTGACACTGCTTGTAAAGCCCGTCACCCAAGCCCCACTCACCCCCCACCTCCCATTGTGTCTAAAAGTGTCACATCATGGTGACAAAGGAAAACGTGTCAACACCTGAAACTTGGGCAATTTGGAGTGGCTGAATAACATAGTTTGAAGGATAGAGTGGGTGTCAAAACCACTAGTCACTAATGATCTAGCACCCCTTCTTGCAAATTGTAACATTGTCGACACAGAATCATCCTAAAATGCCAGAACTAAAGCTGCTATGGACTTCATTATAAAACCATTATAAATTCTCCATATATTTTTTAGAACTGGCTCAAACAGTAACAGCAATATCACTTTAGAAGGCTTCACATACTGACATTTATGGGCAGAATGACAATCGTTCTCGACCAATTCAAAACAATTTACTTGTGCATCAAACCTATTTTGACAACAATTAGCAAATAGGAAAGGCAACATTCCACTGTGTCAGCTGCGAGGAACGCAAGATGACTTTGGCCTAAGATGTTCACAATACTTTCACCATTTCGCCTCATACTCAAGCAACGCAGATGATGTAAGGTAACATAGCACATAGAGTGCTTAAGGCAAACGTCTATCTGGTATTATTGTTGCATGGCATATATCTTAACTGCCTTATGCACAGATGGGGCAAAATAGTAATGCCTGAAGGTGAATGACGCCAGCAAATTTAACCATTGTAATGATCAAAACCTTTTACTGCCCCACATTCAACATGGCAGTAAAACAATTTTGCATGAGCCTAAAAGGGATGTAACATGCCCTATATGAGATAATGGGCCCATCTACCTAATTTTTCATTGGTTTTAGAGAGAGAGAAAGAGAGAGAGAGGAGGATAATGGTGTTGTAGGCTTTCAGAAGCCAAACTGTATGGTTGTGCTAGTGTGAATCATGATTATCATTGCAGCAAGTTATACCTGCTTAAACCCTTATAGGGCCGGTTGTGCTAGTGTGAATCATGATTATCATTGCACCAAATTATACCTTCTTAAACCCATATAGTTAGCCCTATAAGTTACATGCATGCCGCATAATAGGTATACATGTAGGTTGTACCTGAATTTTTACAATGCGTATGGAGCTATGCATTATAGACGTATGATCATGATGCTTCAACTAGGTTATTTTATTCCACCTCTTGTAGAGACAAGGACTGAAATCCAAATACTTAATAACACGGCCATACATGTATACAAAACTTCTAAAGTAAAATCCAATCCACAAAATTATTTGATCTATGGACAGCATCGTTGTGGTAAAGGCCGTAATGCCAAAGGAATCATTACCACAAGACATAGAGACAGGGTCATAAGCGTTTATAACATAAAATCGATTTTCGATGGAATGAAAAAGACATCTGGTAGAATTATAACCATAGAATATGACCCTAATCAAAATGCATACATTTGACTCGTACACTATGGGTATGGTGAGAAGAGATATATTTTACATCCCCCCTAAATAAAGACTCGGGGTATCTTGCCTTGGGTGCTTCCTAAACAATTGCTACAGAACAAACACTTGCACCCCCCACACCAAATCATATTCTCATAGATACCCCACAGGCATAACAGATCTTACATTATATTATTATATTGAACTGATCAAATTCTGGTTAATGGAAAGTGATAGTTTACTTGCCTGATCTACAAGTATGAACGTACAAATACGAGCCTCTTTAAGCTAAACACAAGCAATGCCTAAAGAAACTATGTAAATTCCTATGTTACTCTACAAATATCAGTAATAAATCACACACACAACAATACATAAAAAGACAGGACACTAATAAAGTAAGTTATCACCATAAGGTAAAGTAATTTTGCACTATAAGGTAAAGAAACACATGTAGAAAGCCCATAAGGTTGATGACCTTTTAGGCAATTACACATACCTTGGTTATGGTACTGAGGACGATATGAGGTTGCCAATTTCATCCAGTCCTGAGTCTTCTTCACATCGTTCTGGTTCTCTCGGGGCAAACAAGCAGGAGCAAAGGGACCAAACACAACGCCTTTTGTATTTTGTTGTTGCTCTTGATCCTGTTGCTGTTCTTTCTGTTGGTGACCTGATTGCAGCTGTTGCTGCTTCCCTTCTTGTTGTTGAAGTGGCTGCTGGTGCTGTTGCAGTCGAAATTGTTGTTTCTGTTCTTGCTTTGACTGTTGCAGATGGGGATGGTCGTAGCTATGTTGTGCATGTGGTACTTCTTTTTGTGGCTTCCAATTTAGATCTTTTCTTGGCACACACACACCCGTTTCATGCAAAGCATTGATGGGCTGCTGAACAAATGTCTCAATTCTATTCTTTTTGAAATCAATGTTAGTAATATCTGAGCCAAACTCCCTTTTCTTGATTTCCCTCTCACTAAGATTAAAACAACTAGATTCCACCTTGTTTTCTGTTCCACCTTTCAACCCTAGCCATCGGAAGGCAGGTTTCCTGTTTTCAGGTTGATGGGTCTGAAAGCATAAAAAATTTATCAAACGCCATACAATTTAGTAGGATGAGTCTGAATTTAATTGAAAGCACATAGGAAAATGAACAGACAAAAATTAAAATACTGATTGAAATTCCAATGGATATCTAATTACATTTAAAATAACAATATAGTTCTGACAACAAACCAAATTTAGATCTACAAATATCATATGCATATCAATACTAACTCAGGAGACATGTACAACTGCCACATTTTCAGATTTTGTAACTCGATACTTTAATGGCAATTTAGGGGACTTGAGATAGGCTCCATCAACGCACCCATTTGGCATTATCGACATTTAGCAACCTTCTCAAACAAGCAATTTGAGTGGGCCAGGTGAAGCTTTAAAGCTTGATTCCATGATAAAGGAGTGGCTAAGTCTCCCATGATGGAGGGAAGATCAGGCTTGGCATTACGGTGTTAGAATTCAGATTTGGCCACCTAGGCAGCGCCTAGTTCATTAGGCAGCCCGTCCAGAGAGTTGGGGGTTCTAGGCCCCAAGAATGACATTTGAGGGGTTGAGTTGGATATTAAACCCTCCAAACTGATCTTCATATCATATTTTAAAACTAAAATGGAAAACATTGTCTAGATCTCTCAGATTCTCATACATATATGACTTTTAAAATTGATATTGAATTATTAAATTTCTAAAACTATAGAAGATTAAAAGATGTCAATTTCCTAATAATCTACATTTGCATCATCAGCTCATCACTACCAACAAACAGAGAGTCACAAATCATAACATACAGATCATGCATATCCAACAAAACTCATTAACTTTAAAGTCCAAACAATACATCAAATATGAACAACTCAAATTGGCAATTGAATTTTCATCATCAGGGCCAACAATGTCTACATCCCTAGCACCACCACTAGATGCATAAGATGATGATATAATACCATAATCATCAAAGTCATCTCCCTCCTCAACATACTCTTCTCTTCACCAGTCTTCTGTGAATTTGCATCCTCCTCATCATCCTCCGCCACCCTCATCAATCTCTTCCCTCAAGATCCAGATTTTGTGGCTCTCATGGGGCTTGCTTGGCTTCTAGTTGCCTCACAAACTTGGCTCCAAGTCAAGTCCTCTCCAAGGAATACAGGATCATCTCCAGCATCTACTAATCATTCGCATGAATCATCCATATGTCTAAGCGTAAAGAGGCCGAATGCATCACAATCTAGATAGCATTCCTTAAGCTTTTGGCTATGCCGAACCAAAATGAGGTCAACTGCTCTTTCATGCTCAAGCATATTTGTCTTTTTTGTATGTATTTGTCGGATCAAGCATGCAACACAATTAGAACTTAAAAAATAAAGTAGTACATTAAAAGCATGAGTTAAGCGGAGAAACAGTCCAATAAGGCCTAAATTGATCACATTTGTAAGTTATTAGACGAATGACAGCCTAGACTCGTCAGATGGTACAATCAACCCTTATATTGGGATGAATATGGGTAATAAGGCAGGGTATCAATGGTTGACTAGTTTGGGTGAGTGGGAGATAAAATGTTATGTTAAACTGATGGGCTGGGCTATCTTGACATTAGTTCTCTAGTTAACTATATTTAGGTCCTATTATACTGCTCTCAGATAGTATAGTGTAGTACATAACCGCAAAATTACTTTGTATCGGAAACTAATAGTAATCAATAATTAGCTGTGCTTGTATCTTTACCTTCTCAATGAGATTCATGGAGGACAAAACATTAGCTATGTCATACAGTCTTCTCATCTTTGCTGCAGTTCAAAGTCAACAAGTAAGTCTACCAAACATGGATTTTATTCAAAATTGCAAACAAAAAATACATGGTAAAGCAAAGGGAAAGAGGGTATACTATTTCTCGTCTTGGCTGATTCATGAGTCTCACCAAGCAAGAATTTTGCAGCATCATCCAGTGTTAATATCTCCACCTGAGAAAACCCAAAAGAAATCCATCGGAAACTAGGCAAATCCAGTTGAAAAATATTGTGCTAACTAAGATTCTACATGGGCATTTGGTAATTTATCATTTGGGGGTATTTTTGTAATTTGGGGAGAAAGTACTAGGCAAAGAGCGAAATTGTATTTGGGTAGAAGCCTCTAGCAAGCTATTAGATTCTAGAGATAGCTTTTATATGTGGATGTGGTTTGCATAAAGTTGCAACCTTAAACAATTAAATTAAGGCGCACCTCCAAACTTTATCATAGATGCAATTTTAGCGTTGAAAATTCTTAGGTCATCCTAAGCTTTTATATATGGGTGTGGTTTGCATAAAGTTGCAACCTTAAACAATCACATTAAGGCGCACCTCCAAACTTTGTCATAAGATGCAATTTTAGCGTTCAAAATTCTTAGGTCATCCTAAGAATCTGTTTTTATCTTTAATTATAAAATTTTGAACTCCAAAAGTGGTTCAAATTAAGCAGATCTATAAATGCATGAAATCTTGAAAATGGACAGTTCAGATAATGTGTTGCAAGATGTACTCTTTTGGGAATTGAAATATTTTTTTTTCATATCCAGACATCTCGACTTCGAGATGGTCAATTAGGTTTCTAACGTCAAAACAACCCTTTTCGATGGATTTTTTAGGTGAACCTTAATCCTACAATTTAAGGTATGGACCTTATATCAACTTTTTTCTCTATACATTCCTGTAGCATCATGGAGCTCTGGAAAAATCCATCAAGACTTAGCATAAAGGATCTAGAAACTGCTCTAGATATCTATAGATACCTATGGTCCATTCTCCTTGTAATTAAGAGTAAAAAGAATGACATTAGAGTATAAAGAGAGGTGTGTCGTATTCTGTAGGGTTTCTCCTTGCTAGAGATTGTAATTTGTATTTGCACAGTAAGAAAAGTTTCATTTCCATTAAATTTCCAGCACAATTTTAAGACCTCTTGAGGCTTCTTTTCTCATTGCGACATGGTATCAAAGCCCTTGTAGGCTGTCGATCATAGTTCTCAAGTGAGATGATGATAGGGAGCCAAAGATTCATGGGAAGACAGGAAGACCTCATGCATGTCGAAGGTTAAAGGCACCAAGCTTTTTATACTTAGCATGACCCGATTTAAAAGGAGTTGATTAAGCATGTAAACAGTAGTGAATCGTCAAAAAAGATATGGGATGCTTTGGACTCTTTAGTCGCGCTAATACTAATGTATTACAATATTTGGAGAATGAATTTGCTTTAATCCCAGAAGGAAAAATGTCAATTATGGAGTACTTTTAACAAGTTCAAAATATATGTTCAAAAATTCCCAATTAAACTCAAATGAACCTATTATCAAAAAACTATATGCAACATCTATATCAAAAAAAATGAGTAGTAACATATACGCAATTTTTTTATCAAATATATGCATTGTTTTTTTTGCATTTTAACAAGAAAAATGAGTAGCATTGTATTTTAATTCAATTTTCTTGTCCAAAGAGAGACTTTTAAAATTTGTAATGACCACGATTATAGTTATGGCTAAAATGTGATGATACTGATTATATTGTTTATGTATTTTTGTATGCATTTAGCATGCTTTTATTATTTGGAAGTAGTAAGTCTCTCCCAAATAGTGAGGTAATTTAACTTTTAACATTATTTTGATGCATAAAATGATGTATTTATATGTACATTAAGTCAATGTTGCTAATAGTTATTTTTTGAAATTCAATGGTATTAACACTAAATCAAAGTTGCAAATGGTTATTTTTAAAAATTCTATGGTATTGATTACATTTATTTTTATTTTCTTTTTATGCATCTGGGATGCCTCAAATGCTTTGATTTTGAAAGCTATATTTTCTTTCAAAATTTATTGGAATTCAATTTTTTTTCATGTTTTGATGCATAAAAAGGCATTCTCATTGATGTATTAAAAACTTTAAACAATGATGCTACTTTAATCTTAGTGTTGATAATATGATATATTTTGAATGGCTCTTGAGAAAAGCATCTAGATGCATCTAAAAATATTAACTCCATAATTTAACCTTTTCTTGTATTTAGATATAAAATTATATACAGAAAGACTATCTTGGTTGAGTGTTTGTGCCTTCAACATACTTGCTTTTGTAGGTTTAGGAGATGTTGGGGGGAGGATCCAGCATGGAAGAGAGAGGTGAAGCTGCTGGACATGAGCAGGGGGTGGGTGAAGTGTGGGCACTTCTGGAAGGAAATTACATGTGGTGTTAATCACCCAATACATCACCATGACAAAAGTCTAGGTGATGTACAGCCATGTGGAAAGGTGTCTCGGCTAGATAGGGAGCAGATGCAAAGAGCTATTGAGGAAACAAAATGGAGTAAGTGCATAAACAAAGGGTAACACATAAGTAGTGAGTGTTATGTACCTTCTCAAAAGGATGAGGAGGAAGTTTGAGGCCTAGATGACACTTGTAAGGAGGGGCAGCCTATCTACAATGGGCCAGCTGCCTTTGCCTGTGAAACTAGGGCCTGGGATACAAAATGTGGCCCAAGGGACGGGCCTGGCGGGTACAGAACCACATCAATGTACTTCTTTTTGTTCATTTTAATTTTTCCAACAGGGGGCTGTTCACATCAACTCGAAGGAAGTAGCAGACCAGACAGGGTTGTCTACTTTGTCAACGAAACGAGGAGTTGACAAACAAAGTCAACCCCCATTGGAAACATTAGCAAGTTTCCAAAACAACCTCCAGCTTTGTCAATCTACAACACGCTAGCAAAGCAACCTAAGTCAAAGCACTCTAGCAACGAGTAACCTCTGCCATAGTCGCGAGTGCTTTGATGGCTACACATTCATTTTGATTCTTCCTTTTCTTTTCATTAAGCCAAGCCTAGCCAAGCTACAACCAGCCCAATACGGACCCCGGCCAATGCTCGACCTAGGCAAGGCCAATCCTACAGATATGCAAGCTAGACATCTCCAGATTACAAGGTAGGAGCTTCCACCAGTCATCCTCCATATCAGTAGTACCCAAAATAGAAGGGTGTGGACCAAAACTCTTCAGGTCTTTCTCCTTGAGAAGACATTCTATTTCTTCCTAACATTTACAACCCCAACCCTAACCCTGACCAGAACCCAATTTTAATACACTGAACCATCTCAAATTGACCCCTTAAAGCTTGAATATCAGCAGAACACAGTTATGGGAACTAAGGGCAAGGTAAAGAGGGTGAATGCTAGATTTTTCTATAACATTGTTACCCTCGTGATGCAAGAAAATTTCAGATGACAGTAAATTCGACAAGAAACAAAGCCAAACACATGCACAAATCAAAAAACCTAGGATTTCTTCTCCACACCCAAGCTAGGGTTCCAAAAGCCTAAGCTTTTCTTTTCTTTCAATTTCTAAAAGTCATGTGGAATGACCCCCTCAAGGCCACACACACATCTCATATTTATAATTAATATTCCAAGTACAAAAGATGTCCAAACAAATAATACATTGACCCATATATCCTAACTTAAACTTTAAAATTCATAATGACGGTTTTACCCCTGAGAATAGTACTCATGAACAGTACTTATAAATAGTGCTTATGAAAAACCATAGAATCTTTAAAAAATTAAAAAATCCTAGAAATAAACCCTAAAACTAAAACTATAAAATACATCATTTGAAATGGAATAAAAAATAAAAATAAAAGTATTTTTGCCCCCCATCATTCTCTCTTGTTTGGAGAAAACTCATCCTCGAGTGTTAAAGTGTATTAAGATGAATTCAACATCGAAACCACCTTCTTCAACCTTATTTTTCTTTGTCGGCTCAAATATTATTCATGGTAAAAAGAATTCCTCAAGAAATGGATCATGATATGTATATTAAGGAATCGATGTAAATTATCAAATTCGACTATCCTTGATCTCTGATTGAAAATCATATAAGATACTTCAAACTCAATTTTCTAGTCTTTAGAGGTTTTCTCGACATGTATTTCATTACTCTCTGACATCAAGGACACAATTTGTAGAATTTGAGTCGACCATGCTTCCACTGCACTGCTTTGATTCCAATGCCCTAAATCTCTTGAATGCTCCTCCTCTTCAACATTAATGAGATCTTTAAAGGCCATGATTTGGATCAGTCCTCCTACTGCTTTCTCTCCATATTCTTTACCCTCTTCCAAAATCTCTTCATCATCATCTTAATACTTATCATATATCGATCTCCAAAACAATCTTCATGTTCATCAGAGTATGTATCAAAGATTGGTGGTCAATCCCAATCTGCAACTTTGGGTTATCGATACGATCTACGTCAAAATCAAGAATCTCATCCTCCAAATTGAAAACCCTAGAGTTATGTTCTTGACGTCTAGGTCTTCTGTCATTATCCTCATCACTCAGCTCCCCACACGAAGCGTGAAAGTGAAAAAGCTTGTACTCGATCCTCTTAGGTTAAAAGATCATCGTCTTGCTATCGACGCCACAATTTTGTTTGTACAGTGCTACAGTAACTTCCAAACACTGCTGCAATACCTTTTGTGTAGATTGTGGGCTCTGATACCAATGTGATGCAGGAAACTTTGAAAAGACAATTCAAATCGGCAAGAAACAAAGCCAAACACAAGAACAATTCAAGAAGCCTAGGGTTTCTTCTCCACACCCAAGTTAGGGTTCCAAAAGCCTAAGTTTTTCTTTTTTCACAATTTTTAAAAGTCATTTGGAATGATCCCCTCAAAGCTCCACACACCACTTCTATATTATAATTAATGTTCCAAGTACAAAAGGTATCCTAACAAATAATACATTGACTTATATATCCTAACTTAAACGTAAAATTCATAATGACAGTTTTACCCCAATGAGTAGTACCTATGACAGTACTTGTGAACAGTACTTATGAATAGTGCTCATGTAGTCAATAAAAAATAATAAAAACCCTAAAAAAACCCTAAAAACCTAAAAAAACCTTGAAATAAATCCTAACACTAAAACTATAAGATACATCACTTAAATTTGAATAAAAAATAAAAATAAGTTTGCCCTCCATCACCTAGTGAATATTATCAAACAATGGTCCCATTATAGCTGCAACAAGGCCAAGACTAAAGGGCACCAACTGAAAGTGAGCTTTTACGTTATTGCGTGGATAACAAGGTGGACTTATTCCTCGAAGATTTTAAGCAAACATGCTCTAACACTATGGTTACCATCATATCTGATGGCTGGAAAGATTGTAAAAGGAGGCACATTGTGAATTTCTTAGTTTATTACCCAAAAGGGATACTTTTCCACAAGAAAACTTTATTTAAACAGCTTCATAAAGCAGTAGAGGAGATTGGTGAGGAAAATGTTTCGCAAGCAGGTCATCATTGATAATACCAAATCGTACGTTAAAGTAGGGAAGTTACTAATGAATAACAAGAAGAATTTAGCTTGGAGCCCCTGCTCTGCTCAGCTCAATGTATTAATTTAATATTAAATGCTATCACTGAGTTGAGAGAGGTTAAAAGGTTGTGTTGAACAAAAAAATGAATTATATACTAAATGCTATCACTGAGTTGAGGGAGGTTAAGGGTTGTGTTAAACAAAGAAAATGAATTACAAAATTCATATATAATTATTCCTTCATCCTTATCTTGATGAGGCAACATTCTAACAGAGCTAATTAGGCATGCCATCACTATGTTTGCCACCTCATACTGAACACTAAAGTCAATCTCAGGGCAGCAATCAAGATTGAAGAAGATGGTGGCATTGAAGGAATGGAATTATACACCTATGATAAGGACACAAGTTGGAAAAGAGTTTGAGGGAATTATTAATAATCGTGGATTTTGGGACATGTGCAAACAGGTTTTCAATGTCACCACCCCACTAGTACAAGTCATAAGGATGATTGATATAGATACTAAGCCTTCCATGGAATACTTGTATGAGGCACTAGACTGCAAAGCAAGACATACAAGCCGATGGCGAATTCTTCAATAGTAAAGTGTGGGAGATCATTGATACAAGTATAGGTTGGAACATTGCCATGCCCTATCCATGCAACAAGGAACTTTCAATTTCAAGTTCCAATTTATGCTCCTATCTTAATTTGTGATTTACATGGGCCTATTTGACCTGGATGTTGACAATTGGATATTATTAATATATTCAGGTTTTTCATTAACTGATCACTATCTATAACGTCACAATGATTACTATGAGGTCATGGAAGGGGTGAAATGTTGCATCGAAATATTAGAGGCAATCCAATTGAAGCCTTGAAAGAGGTAAGATTCTATTTAAAACTTTAAATATGAAACAATATTTTTCTTCTTGTTGTAGTTTATAGATTGAGAGTGTGCACTTTGCTATTTTAACTTGCTTTCTACATAGATGCTTAAGGTGACTTTGGAATCAGTATGGCTAGAAGAAGTTGAGCTAACTTAGTTCCAAGTTAGCGTTCAGATTTATGAGCATTATATCATCACATAACTAGTACATATGATTGTACTCTTATGTCTTTTCAGTACCATGATGGGGATTACATGGAAGCAACACTCCTCATTTAAAAAAGATCGCAATTCGAGTCGTACGCCAAACTTGTTCTGCCATAGGGTATGAAAGAAACTAGAGTACATTCCAGTAAATCCACGCTACTTGGAAGAAAAAATCGAGAGGTTGCAAAAGCCATAATGCATTATAATCTAAACCTAAGGAAAAAGCGGTTGAGGATAGAGGTGAAGGATTACTACCACATTCAACATTGACAACATGTTCAAGGAGAATACAATAGCGGAATGTCTAGAAGAGCAAGAAGAACAAACAATCAACAAGAGGACCCTTGATGAACAAGTTGTTGATGATCTAGATGACATAAAGTGTGGTTAATCAGCGAAAGGAAGGTGAAGAGGGCTAAGATGATGGAAGCTCTAGTAAAGAAGAAACCCAAAGTGGTAGGGGGTAGAGCTTATGTAGGGGGAGAGGGAGCTTAGAAGGTGGGAGCCAGAGCCTAGGTGGTGAGAGACAAACCAAGGTGGTAGTGAACATATGAGGGTAGGACTAGCCTTGGTTACTTTGGGATATGAACTATTGGATTGGCATACCAACCACAACCTTTGAAGGGACTTTTGGGATAAAGAACGCTCCTTCAATCTCACAAATATTTCGGAGGGACCCCAGAACACACCTTTTGGTAGTAGAGTGAAAAGTGATATATCCTTGTATTAGAGTGCTCTCTATGAGATTGTGAGTTTACGTTAGTCAGACATTGTAGAATGTAGAGTGACATATTATCTTAACTTTTACTCTTCATTGTCTTCAATGTAAACTTGTGAAGTAGAAATCTCTGTGAGATTGTGACTTTATGTTTTTCAGACATTGTAGAATGTAGAGTGATGTATTATCTTAACTTTCATTCTTCATTGTGGGTTGTGAAGTAGAAAATATTGGGCCTCATTTGAATTAGCAATAAAATAGTACAATAATAGTAACTAGTCTATGATATCATTCAGTGTTTCATTGATATTTTATGGTGTTTATGAACTTTTTTCATTCTTATGGAAATTTTTGTTTTTAGATATTGTTAATAATCTTTTGAATTTTTTCTTGAATTCTTTAGGGCCCTTTCCGTGGCTCGGGCATGACTTTGGTGAGACCGAAAAGCTACCCGAGTCACTCAACTAAGTCAGATACGAGTCCACTGTGTGAACCATATTTTAGAACAATGATCCAAAAAACAAAACAAAACAAAAAGGGATTTTCTCTCTAAATAAAGCAAAAAAGGGGGGAGAAAAAAATATGCCCACATTATATGTGGCTAACGATACTGTTAAACATCATCTCATACCTTGGTCATAAGGAACACTTTCACAAAATTTTGAGTGAGAAGCCCCAAGGATTTCTCCCTTCTACCATCTGTTCAAAGCCCATGTTTAGAAGTGCATATGAAAGGCATGTCAATGTTTAATTCATATAGGCATTCATATTCCAGGTTTGCCAATTTGCAGATTAGAATACGCGACCTATATCTTTTGTTGGTAGTGAAAGAAGAGCATGCTTCTTGCTATTACCAGTTCAAGAATCATAGAAACCATTGTGTTTGCATAAAAAATGCAAAATAGTCTAATTAGTCTGCTTTTGATGCGACATTCACCTTGCTTTGGCTTGGATGTTGCAGTTTCAGAAGGATCAGATTTCTTTTGGGAGAGTGACTCTTCATCTTCATCATCATCAAAATCCTGGAAGAGGGAGAAAGAGAGCACGTGAGAGAGAGAGATCAGAAAATAGATTGGATAGTTCTTGAACTAAATCTATACCTTCACATCATCTGATGAAATTGCATAGTTACTGTCCGGGTTCCCCTTGAGTGCATCTTCCTACACAGATCAACAACAAAATCAGGCAAAAGGAAGAGAGAGAGAGAGATAGAGAGCGAGAGAGAGATCAGTCAGGAAAAAGAGAGGAAAGCATGACAACACCTACTCTGAGACATTCTAAAGCGCCAGGGATCCCACCCATCCCTATCCATTTATACTGGTTCTTAGCCTTCCTCGCAAGAACCTACAAGAAAATGAAATTCAGTAAACCTCCAACAATAACTGAATACCAAATGAAATATTCAAAGAGATAGCAGAGAGAGAGAGAGAGAGAGAGAGAGAGAGAGACACCACCACTACTACGAATATATATNTATAATACTCCTACTCCTCTACCGTACCGAACAAGTACGAACTAATAACTGTACAAGTAAGAGAA